ATCTGTCCCAGTAGCTGGATGTCCTCAAGGTGCCCTGGCTTACCTTCAGGTCAAATGTTTGCAAGTCCATCTCACACTGCAGTAAGGCCCTGCACTTGGCCCCGGCAATAAACCAAGATTAACTAAGTCGTGACATGTTTAGCCAATTGTTTCATAAACACACACATATTAAATGATATACATACATATGCACAACAAATTATAGGCTGTATTCTAAAATTTAAAATCATTGAAAACAAGGGAATTATCTGCTGAGCCTGGTCTCTCCATCCAGTGTCTCTCCCTGCACCCACTCACTCTGAGGCAACTGAAGCTATACAGCGACAGCTGGGGTAAACCACCCCCCTTTGCTACTATGAAGGAGTCAGAGGAGTCACCACACTGCAAGGAAACGTGTCACATTTTGTCACTAGTACAGCTTTCAGAGGAATTCAACTGAACAGCAGGCTCACTTGAGTGAGTTTAGTGATGGCCACTCACTGGTTAGGGCTCTTCTCAAGCCAGGACACCTATTTTGGGAGATCCAGGCATTAGTGATTAGTTATTTGATAAATATTAAGAAGCTTAGGGATTTTATTAAGAACTGAAATCCAGATTCTTCTGAAGATTGTGAGAAAAATAGCTCCATTACATCCCTAAACTCAAGAAAACCAAACTCACTGCCACAGAGTCAGTTCCAGCCCATAGATACCACCATTGGGTTTCCAAGGTGTAAATCATTATGGAAGCAGACTGCTTCATCTTTCTTCTGCAGAGTGGCTAGGGGGTTTAGAACCACCAACCTTTTGGTTAGCAGCCAAGTGCCTTAACCACTACACCACCAGAGCTCCTTCACTGCTAAACTAACTCTCCTTGAATATAAGGATGGTAACAAATTATAAATGTTGGCCTTAATATAGGTCTCTTGGAATATGTAATCTCGAAGAACCGTCTGTTAGGGGTGGAGGTGTTTCTGATTTGGAACATTTCAGGATCTGTTACCAATCATCAATTCTATGATTTTCTGGCTAATGAGAGAGAAAGGGCAAAAGATTTGGCACCACTTTTGACATCAACAGAGCCTGTCCCGTCAAAGCCATGTGAAATCAAGAAGACAAAGTGTATGTGAACTGTTGTATGAAAAGTGAATTTGCTCTGTAAATCTTCACCCAAATCACAATTACAAAAAAAAAAAGAAAAAGAAGACGACAGAGGTCTACAGAACTGCTGGATTCCGTAAGGGACTTTACAGGCTTGTACTTTAAGCATATTTTGCATTCTAATGGCCTCAGTCCTACAGGCTGCTAATGACCTACATCACAGAAGAGTGTTATCAGAACTTTCTCTGCATAATCACTACAATCAGAAAACCATTTAAGTTCTTGCAAAATTTGGAGGAAAAATAAGAAAGTACTTCCTCATTTACAACTTTTATCTCACAAATTGTTTAATAATCTACATCCTAGCATTACTAAGGGCATAAATAAATATATAGGAGCTCTGGTGGCACAGTTCCTAAGGCATTTCACTGCTAACCAGAAGGCTGGAGGTTCAAACTCACCAACCTATCCTCAGAAGGAAGGTTAGGCAATCTACTTCCATAGTGATACCACCTCAGAAACCGAAGAAGGGGTCGCTATGAGTTGGATCCAATTTGATGGCAATGAATTTGAGGGGTTTTTTTTAATATATATAAATATATAGGTATAGAGTTACTGATACAAATATATACATACAATATTTTATTGTCATTAACTGCCATTGAGTCAGCTCCAACACACAGCAACCTTACGTAAAACAGAATAGACACTGTCTGGTCCTGCACCACGTTCATGATCACTGCAATGTGTGGGTCCAATGATTGGCTACTATGTCAGTCCATCTCATTCAGTGTTTCCCTTGTTTGTATTGGCCCCCTACCAACCATGATGTCATTTTCCAGAGATTCGTTTAAACATATAGCTATAGAAATATATTGTTGTTAGGTGCCGCTGAGTCATCCTCGACTCACAGGGACCCCATGCACAGCAGAATGAAACACCACCCGCTCTTGTGCCAGCCTCAGGATCCTTGCTATACCTGAGCCCATCCTTGCAGCCACTGTCAATCCATCTCATTGAGGGTCTTCCCTTTGTATCCTGGCCCTTTGCTTTACCAGGCATGATATCCTTCTCCGGGGCATGGTTCCTTCTGACAACATGAGCAAAGTAGGTGAGATAAAATCCGGCCATTCTCACTTCCAAGGAGCATTACAGCTGAATTCTTCCAGGGCACATCTGTTAGTTCTTTTGGCAGTCCACGGTACTGTCAGTACCCTTCGCCTTGCATACATAGATAGTTAGGTGCTGCAGAGTCGGTTCGGATTCGGCAACCCTGGTCCAACACAACAAAACACTGCCCAGTCCTGTGCTATCCTCAAAATCATTGCTATGTTTGAGCCCAATGTCAGTCTATCTTGTTGAAGCCCTTCCTCTCTTTCACTGACTCTCTACTTTACCAAGCATGATGTACCTCTCCAGGGACTGGTCCCTCCTGATAACATGTCCAAGATGCGTTAGACCAAGTCTCCCCATCCTCACTTCTAAGGAGCATGCTGGCTGCACTTCTTCCAGCACAGATCTGTTCGTACTTCTGGCAGCCTGTGGTACATTAATATTCTTCACCAACACCATCATTCAAATGCATTGATTCTTCTTTGGTTTTCCATATTCGTTGCCCAGTTTTCACATGCACATGAGGGGACTGAAAATACTACAGCTTTTGTCATGCACACCTTGGTCCCAAAGAGACATCTTTACTTTTTAACACTTTAAAGAGATCTTCTGGAGCAGATTTGCCTAATGCAATACATAGTTTGATTCCTTGACTGCTGCTTCCTTGAGTGTTGATTGGGGATCCAAGTCAAATGAAATCCTTGTCAACTTCAATCTTTTCTCTGTTTATCATTTGCTTACCGGTCCAGTCATGAGGATTTTTGTTTTCTTTATGTCAACGTGTAATCCACACTGAAAGTTGTAGTCTTTGATCTTCATCAGTAAGTGTTTCAACTCCTCTTCACTTTCAAAAGGCAAGATTGTGTCATCTATGTGTCACACACTATGAAAGAGTCTTCCTCCAATCCCAATGCCACAGTCTTTTTCCTAGAATCCAACTTCTCAAATTAATAGCTGAGCATATAGATTGATTGAGTAAGGTGAAAAGATACATCCCTGATGCACATCTTTCCTGATTTCAAACCACACGGTATCCCCTTGCTCTGTTTGAATAATGGCCTCTCAGTCTATGAACAGGATCTGCATGAGCACAATTGAGTGTTCGGGAATTTTTATTATTTGCAGTGTTGTCCATAATTTGTTATGATGCACACAGTCAAATGCCTTTGCATAGTCAATAAAACACAAGTAAACACCTTTCTGGTATTCTCTATCCCTCCTTCCATGTTCTCTTCTGAATCCATCTTGGATTTCTGGCAGTTCCCTGTTGATGTACTGCTGTGACCATTTTTGAAGTGTTTTCAGCAAAATTTTACTTGGATGTGATATTAATGATATGGTTTGATAATTTCCACATTCTGTTGGATCACTTTTCTTTGGAATGGGCACAAATATGGATTTCTTCCAATACCCTGGCTAGGTAGCTATCTTCAAAATTTCCTGACATAGACAAGTGAGCACATCCAGCACTGCATCTGTTTGTCAAAACACCTCAATGGGTATCCCATCAATTCCTGGAGTCTTGTTTTTCACCAATTCCTTCAGTGCAGCTTGGACTTCTTCCTTCAATACCATTGGCTCTTGATCACAAGCTACCTCCTGAAATGGCTGAACATCAGCAATTCTTTTTGGTGCAGTGACTCTGTGTTCCTTCCATCTTCTGTTGATGTTTCCTGGTCATTCAATATTTTGCCCATAGAATACTCAAGGTTTGAATTTTTCCTTTAGTTCTTTCAGTTTAATAAATACCAAGCATGTATATATATGATATGTATATAATCTATTTATATTAATAAAGAGAGGTTAGAGAGAGAGAGAGAGAGATGATAGAGAGAGAGAGAGAGAGACAGACAGACAGATAGATAGATAGATAGATAGGGATTTGGGCTCAAAACTGTAAGTTAAAATCCCCAAGTTTCTCAACTCAAAATGGGGAAAGAAACTTCTGATGAAATACTTAATAGTGTGTTATTCTTTTATCTTATTTCTCTTTCAAAACTTGCTTTGTTTCCCTCACCCTGACTCCATCTCTTTGGTTCGTGAAACTATCAATCACCCTCATTTCCCTCTCTCCCCTATCCAGGAGTGAATCTTTGTACCGCCCATTTCTGATCCAGTCACCATCACACACTCTCTCTTTCAACACACAACCTAACTTGCCTGTTGTCTCTTTTACGACTTTTGTATTTTCCCTACCAGATTCCAGCGGCTCTGGTTATGAAGTCATAAATTTCAGGAATTGGCGGTTTGAGAAGCTGTCAGTATCCGGAAGTCCCTGGCTGGTACAAAACTGTTAATGCACCCAGCTGCTCACCGGAAGATTGGGGGTTCAAGTCCCCCCAGAGGCATCTCAGAAGAAAAGTCTAGGAAGCTACTTCTGGAAAATGAGCCCTGGGAAACCCTATGGAGCACAGTTCTGCTCTGACACACAGGGGGTCCCCATGAGTCGGAGTCAACTCAACAGCAACTGGTTGGTATCCTGATGACCTCAGTGTCACTTCTTGGTAGTCTGTTCACTTCCAATTGTCTAGTCTATTCTGTCTACAACTTAAAGAAGAGGTGTCCTGCACCCTAGGGTGGACGCTCGGTTCTGTTCTTTATAATCTCTTAAGATCCTCAACAGCTAGGCCCCAGAGCCCCACTTATAGGAAGTTCTACATTGCTAAACTCATGGGGCTATCGCTAGGTGAAATGAAACAACACTGAGCACATTGTAAACACATAAGTAATATGCAAACAAAAGGGAACATGCAAAACACCTGCTGGAAACTTCCTCCCTGGGAGATGGAAATGGGGTGTGGTCCTCACCTCGGGATTCGTGGAACTCCAGTGTGACGTGAGCATCAAATCCAAGGCTGAAGTAGTTATTGAACACATTTAGCGGGAGCTGCAACGATAAACAAAGGTGGGTGGAGGGAGCCATGGGCTTCACCAGAAAGAACAGAGAAAAGTAAAGCTCAGGGCCTGAAGCGGGCCTCAGGAGCAGTCACACGGGACAAGGGCTCAGCCCTGGCTTCATGACAAGGGGGTCTGCACAGAAGAAGCAGAGGTTCTTGAGTGAATCCATGAGCAAAAGCTCCAATCAAGTTATTCTCCCAAGAACTTGCAATAGTACAGGAAAAGGGGATAGAAACACAAATCACCAAATGGAACCTTTCCCATGGACGCGGTAACAGTAGAACCCGGCTCGCTGAAGGCTGCACATTACAATAGCAGCAAAGAAGGACCCACAAAGCAAACTTAGGAAGTGAACACATTTGGGAGGATCACATCTAATGTGTTTGCTCCACGCATCCACTCTTTCAGAGAATGTAAGTACATTCCATACATGAATACTGCAACTTATAATGAATAATATTTCATTTGTTTACCCTCCACCTAGTTTCCAAAAAGGACTCCCCGAGTGGTGCAAATGGCCAACCAAAAGGTTCCAAGTTCAAGACCACCCAGACGCATCTCAAAAGTAAAGCCTAGGAAGCTACTTCTGAAAAATCAGCGCTGGAAAACCCCGTGGAGCACAGTTGTGCTCTGACACGTGTGGGGTCGTCATGAGTTGGAGTTGACATGATGGCACCCAGTCTGGTTCTGACTTGGGATTTTCCACAGAAAGACTTGTTTTTGTTTTTGTTTTTGAGAAAAGTCATATAAGCAATGGGTAGTGGGGGCCATGCAGCTGTTGTTGACCTAGAAAGAGAGAATGTGTGTGTGTGTGTGTTCAGTATTGTTGAGATCTTCATTTGTATATCTCTCCTTTGTATCCGTTATTGACTAAGAGCTATGCAAACACAGACACACAGATGCACAGCCATGACTCTCCTCCCTAGAATCCTCTGGGGCGCCTCCTCTTACTGCTCGAAGCTGAGGAAATGGAGAACCACACAGTCTAAACCAGGCACATCAAACTGCAAATGTGATGTGATTTTATGGTTTCTCTCCGATGCCAGGATTAGGAAGGTGACCCTATAGGACAGAGCAGAACCACCCCCAAAAGTTTCCAAGGCTGTATATCTTTATAGAAGAAGATTGCCTCATCTTCTCCCACAGAGCAGCTGGTGGGTTCGAAATGCTGGCTTTTTTGGTTAGCAACTGACTGCCTTAACCACTGTGTCACCAGCGCTCCCTAAAGAAAGTAAAGAGGGGTCATTTTATCTCAACTTAGATACCATTTCCAGATAATGAGCAGATTTACTCCTGAGGTATGAGAAGCAAGTATTTTGACCCTCAAGATTTCAAAGGTAACTTTACTGCAGGGTTTCATGTGCCCTTGCTCAGGAAGATTTTCTGTTGGGCTAGCGTGAGAATGCTGCCCCATTAGGAGAAAAATGAAAGAGAAGAGTGACGGAAATGGAGACAGAGAAAAAAAGAGAGAGACAGAGAACGCAGGAAGAAAGAAATGGGCCTGACGTCGTGTCCAGCCGCAGTCGGGAATGCCCCCGATGGGAACCCTGACCAGAGCCTGGGAGGGTCCAGGGGCCAAATAGCCCTTAGCAATGGTTACAGCTGGAGACTGGGGCAGAGGGTGGACACAGAGAACAAAGCCAAGGCCACGTCTGCCTCTGCAGGCTCCATGTTTGAGAATTATGCAGTCCTCGCGCTTAAAGAGAATCCCAGTCCTGAGTAAGGGCAGTGTGGGCTGGAGATCCTGCCAAAAGCCAGGCTGTGTCTGTCTCCACCATATATGTTCTCCTGGCTACAGCTCTGACCCATGTCTCAGCTTCCACTGACATTTAAAGAGAACATCTGGGCGCTCTCCCCTAAATACTGTCCCAGTTTAGTCTGTTATTAAGTTATTATTCATATTTCCCAGGGGGAAATAGCCCTGATTTCCTAGACATTTCAAAAAACCATTCCTAAAACCCTCCAATGATCGGATGGTCGTTCTCTGGCTGCACTAACAAGTCTTTCCATTTCCTAAGCTGTAGGGAAGAGAACTAACGATGGATCTCTTGAGGGCCAACCATCGCAAGTGTAGTGGGAAGAGAGCCTTCATATTTCCAAGTGTACATTTCTTTCTGTTCAGACTGTTCTTATTGTTGTTGTTATGTGCTGTCGAGTTGGACCCGACTCATAGCAACCCCTTCTTGGGTTTCCGAGGCAGTATCACTATGGAAGTAGATTGCCCAACCTTCCTTCTGAGGAGTGGCTGGTGGGTTTGAACTGCCAGCCTTCTAGTTAGCAGTCAAGTGCCTTAGGCACTATGCTACATATCCAATTTCTAGAAGTCTATTACATTAGGGGGAAAACAGCACATCCCAAGATGATAGCTGTTATTTAAGTAACATTATATGAATTCAAGTCCAACTGAGCTAGTATGGTTATCTACTAGAAACCTTACTAATTTCTGATCATGGTTTAGGTAGAAAAACCATGAAGACAAGGCAAAACACGCTCTGGCTTATTTGGGCTGAATCGGGAATTAAAGTACATTTCAGAGTAGGTCAGCATCACAGTGCTAAGAAACAAGTGGATGACGGTTAGGTTAAGATGATGTTGGGGTCAATCTCCTTTAAGGCTGAAGTGTCCAACTATGGTATCTGTAGGGGACAGTATGGCTGCCAACAGCTATGAGTCCACTGAGTGTTTCAGGAGGCCATGATACTACGTGTTCCCTGGGTGCACAAGAGAGGGAGAACATTGAAACTGCAAGCTTAGACAAGAGCAGGGTGCTCTGGGGACAGCAAAGGGAATTTCCAGAAGAGGCAACTTCATACAGATTACCATGGTAACAGCAGAGGGCCTTTCCAGGAGCACAGCAGCTGCAGCTCCCACAGAGGATGACAATAATGCTTACTCTGACAAGATTAGCTTAAAGTAGAACAACCGAGAAGAACACCTGCACAAAACTCAGAGATAAGAAAGGGGCAAGTCGGACCCCAAGCTGAGACTCATCTTTAGACAGACAACCTTCTGGTCAGCCGGGTGTGCCACCCCCGACTGTAGCCTGCCCCACCATCGGCACCACTGCCATCTTGTCTTGTTGGAGCACGGTTTCAGAGATCATCCAGCACCAATGCCCAGCGAGTCTCCTCTTCCCCTAGTCCAACCACAGAGGACCGAGTTGCTCCAGGGAAACCTCTGTGCCACCAGGAGGTCCAGGAAACACAATCCATGAAATCCTGGCCTCAGTCAGTGGCATGGCTGATATAGCAGGGATGCTGTTTCAGTGTACGTGCCTGGCCCACTCCCCACAATCACTTCATCAGAATCTCTGGGGACCTGGCCCTACAATCTGCATTTAAGCAAATGCATCTGGAGATCCCTATGCTTTCCAAAGTTTGAAAACAGTATCATAGGAGAAAGGTGGAAGATAACAGGGAGGGAGTCACTGATTGGCACCCTACCATGTTTATCCAATTGAGACTAGAACTTAGAATCCAGTGTTCGACTGTAACCTCACATCAGTGTGTTTGCAGCTATGGCCCCTGATTTGTGTTCTGTTGAACTACAAGCTTCATCACTGACCTAAGTCAGAACAGTTATTTAGGCATCTCCAAGTCCCAGCCAGGGAGCTCTGGTAGCATAGTGCCTAAGGCACTTGACTGCTAACCAGAAGGCTGGCAGTTCAAACCCACCAGCCACTCCTCGGAAGGAAGATTGGGCAATCTACTTCTGTAGTGATACTGCCTTGGAAACCCGACGGGTCACTATGAGTCAGGTCCCACTTGACAGCACGTAACAACAACACAGCAAGTCCCAACCAAGCAGTAAAAATGCATTAGTGAGGAAGACATGTCCTACATGTTTTGAAACAGAAAGGAAACTTGATCATCAGACCAGAAGATTCTGGGGTCATCTTTCTACTGCATGACCACGCCCCTAACACTTGAGAACACACACAGGCATGCTTCATTTTATGGCACTTTGAAGATATTGCTTTGTTCACAGATTGAAGGTTTGCGGCACTGTGTCGGGAAAGTCTTTGGGCGCCATTTTTCCAACAGCATGTGTTCACTTCATGTCTCTTTGTCACATTCTGGTCATTCTCATCATATTTCAGACTTTTTCATACTGCTGTTGCACACTTAAAAAATGACAAGTAGTGTGAACATAACTTTTACAGACACTGAGAAACCAAAACGTTCACGTGATTCACTTTATTGTGATACTCACTTTTATACAGTGGTCTGGAATAGAACCCACAATATCTCTGGGCATTGCCTGTATTTTTCATCTTCTCATAGGTAAAGCCTTTGCATTAAACTTGGAAGATTATAAAATGGATACGGGCTTTTCTAGCGTGGGAATGAAAGGGAAAGGACCGCCCCCTGAGCTCTGGAAGCCAGGGGGGCCTAGGTATCTGAAGGTGCCTGGTGCATAATCATTGGATGGTACAAACGGTTAACACGCTCAGCTGCTGACCAAAAAGTGGGCAGTTCAAGTCTACCCAGAGGCACCTCAGAAGAAAGGTCTGGTGACCTATTTCCAAAAAACCAGCCACTGAAGACCCTGCGGGGCACAGTTCTACACACACACGTGAGACCACCATGTGTTGGAATTAACTCCACAATTTTTTATTTCTTTTTTGGTTTATTACACACCTGACCTTAATAGTCCTAAACCCAAACACTGTTCCACTATCTCAGAGGGAGGATGGCATGTGAACCTCCTGCAGGAATATCTGCCTAAAGCTGATGCCCAGGGTTCCTTTAATCTACTGAAGAAAGAGCTCTCTAACCTTACATGCACCATCTTCAAGTTCTTCTGGAGGCAGGTCTGGGTTTCTTTCCACGTGGAGGTTCCAGCGATCAAGCTGTACAATCGTCCCATCTTCTACTTGGCATAGGATCTTAGAAACAGGCTCATCCGTGTAGCCCTATGGGAGGAGAACACACGCATCGGTGTTCAGAGCAGTGACCAGTGTAGCCTGTGCCATCGTAAGCAAGGAAGGGCCCTTCTCCTATAGACTCTGCTTATTTTGCAACTGGCAAGGCTGGGACAGGAAACTGTTAGCCTTGAATTACTCAGAACTGAATAATCACAGGTAATGGGCATAGGAATACTAACTGGTTTGGGGTGAGTGTAGTTTTGGCTGGCATCAAGAACCAATAGCCACTGGTAGGCACTGAAGGCCAGGCTGGATGGCTGCTCTGATCAGGGTAAAACCTAGACACCCTGGGCTCCTACTGGAGGTGCTTGAGGGAAACACAGAGCAAGTGTTTCCGGAAAAGGGGGAGAGGGATCAAGAATCAACTGATCTGATTAACAACTTGCTTCTGCTAACAGTCCATCTCGCTGGCCTCTCCCTCAATCAGGGCTGGCCACCACTGCCTCGATGCCCAGGACAGGTCAGGCTGAGGCTGAGCCTGGCAGGCATGACCCACTCCTACCAGACTCCTTATTGACAACATTAAAGACAATGTGTTGATTTGGAGGAAAGGCGTTGGCACATAAGGGAACTACTTCATGTAATGGGAGAAGTTAACTCACACAAAGGCCAGATTCATATTTGCTAACATATGATGAATAATTTTCACAAGCAATAGCTGGCAGGGCTGACGTTTTAGTGTATCACGACTTCTTATCATCTTACGGCTTGAAAAATGAAAGTAGCTACAAACTATCTGGCCCATGATGGGTGGAGCTACTTCCCACCAAACTTGTCTGGAGTTGGCTAAGTAGTGGGAAGGATAAGTTAGTGACCTGTATAACTAAATCTAAGATGACACCGATCAGAAAAATCAGATGCTTAAGAAAAGCCAAAATGCTCCCAGTAAGGGCTGTAAACCTGAACCAGGTAAGCTGCTTGACAAGGACCTAGTGTCGGGAAAAACTCAAAGTGGCCTGATGGTGGTAGCACATGAAGACTTGAGGCTAACCCACTCAGTCTTTGTAGACACTCAAAAGGTCCCAGGCCTGTCCACCTACCACCATCATTTTCTCCTATAAACTTTCCCTCCCCTCCAGCTGACAAAGTTTAAACCTGAAGACCGTACTAGATGACGTCAGGGCCGTGGCACTTTGATTTCCATTCTGACTTGTTCTCGGGCAGTGGTAGCAGAGCCCCTCGTGTCCACACACTTGGGGCTGTGGACAGCCTCTGGGAAACATTCTTACCCCACCCCAGTTGAGCGTACGAGCCAGGTCGTTCCCGGTCCCCAGAGGAAGGACCCCGACAGGCGGTTGGGGGCTCAGCTGAAGCTCATCCAAGATGGACAGGACCCAGCCCACCTACAGATGTCATCAGGGGCCAGAGGAGAGAAAAGAAAGATAAATCAGTGACAGAGAAGGCAGCCTGGGAGGAGGAGTCTTGTGGAGCTGACCAGGATAGTTCACTGTACCTGAAAACATACGTGTTTTAGCATAGTGACTGAGGCCCAGGAAGCCCACATATGGCAGCCCTCTGAAAAAGAAAGGGGTCACTGCCCCATGTGTTACTATATAAGCAAAACCAGACCCAGTCATTGGTATTAACTGTTGTTGGGAGCCATCAAGTGGGTTCCAACTCATAGCAACCCTATACGACAGACTACTCTGCCCCACAGGGTTTCTAGGCTGTAATGTGTATGGGAGCAGGTCACCAGGTCTTTCTCCCACAGAGCCACAGGTAGGGTCTAACTACTAACCCTTTGGTTAACAGCTGAGTGCTTAACGGTTGTGCCACCAGGGCTCATTACATTTTAACTAGAGACCGACTTTGAAAAGTAGGAGAGTTGAAGATTCCAGAGGGCGATGTGCCCTTGTGCAGTGGGGGGAACCTGGAATCAGACTGTATCTCAACTCTGGCTGATGCCGGCTGATGAAATGGCTTTACCTCTCTAAGACTCAGGTTCCTCATCTGTAAACAGGGATAATAATAACTGCCTCACAGCATGACTCATGGATCAAATGAAAATACAACTGAGCCTTACTGAGCATGGTCCCTGGCCCACACCCACACCCTTTGAATGGTTGCCTTCCATAGCACAACCTTGGAAATGAGTGGTGTTTTCCTAAGCATGCCTATCTTCCCCTTAATGACATGCTATGGAAGCATAATTATGGATGAACACAGTACTTGGTGTAAGTTTAGGAAGAAACTAGATGCTTATATACCAGAACAATACCCCTACTTCATCTTTTTCTGTCTAAGGTAAACAGTAGGTTTGGCACAGTCTTATTGGACTGTTGAGAAAAATCACCCCAAACGCGGAAATGACAAAAAGAAATTTGCATGTCCCTGCAAGGTCATCCTAGAAGAGTGTTGCACCATCTGCCTGGGGACTTTGTAACTGCAGATTAACTCATACATTGCTGTCCTACAAACATGCACATGTTGAGAAGAGAAGACAACATCACAGGTGAAGATTTTGTTGCCCGACAGGGCATTAACCAATTTGTCTCAAATTCAGAAAACATCCTGCAGTCCAGGTGGCATACTCCTGCTCCTCTAAGTCTTTAATACACCAGCTTGACCCTCTTGCTGGTAAGTTCATTTCTTTCTTTTTTATTGTGGTAAATATATATGTAACAAAACATTTCACATTTGACAATCTTCACATGTACAGTTCAGTGACAGTCAGTTTGTTCAACCATCACCATTAGCCATTTCCAAATTTTCCCACTGCCCGTAACAGAAGCTCAGTTGCCCTAAGCAATGAGTCCTCCTTTCTGCTCCCTCTTGCACCCTGAGTGGTAATCACTAATAAACTGTGTTTTTAGTTTTTCTATTCATTTGCCTATTCTAGACATCTCATATAAGTGAAACCACACAGTATTTGTCCTTTGAGGACTGACTTATTTCAGTCAGCACAATGTTTTCAATATTCACCCATGTTGTAGCATGTATCCAAAAATAAAATAAAATATAATAAAGCCTGTTGCTGTTGAGTTAATTCCAACTCATAGTGACCCTACAGGATGAAGCAGAACTGTCCCATAGGGTTTATAGAAGCAAACTGCCCCATCTTTCTCCTGGTAGCATGCATCAGTATTCCATAATTACATTTACAAGAGCATCTAAAAGAATGTACCTAGGAGCCCTGCATGCCATGGCAAGGTTCTTGATTACTAGCTGAAAGGCTGGCAGTTCAAAGCCACCCAGAGGTGCCTCAGAAGACAGGCCTGGGGGTCAGCTTCCAAAAGATAGTCTTGGAAACCCTGTGGCACAATTCTGCTACATGCACACGTGGGGTTGCCATAAATTGAAATGGACTCCATGGCAGCCATCATGGATTGAATTCTGTTCCCAAAAATTTGTGCCAGTTTGACTAGGCCGTGATTCCCAGTACAGTATGGCTGTCCACTATTTTGTGATCTGATGTAATTCTCCATTTTGTGGTATGTTGTAGATCCTGACCTCTATATGTTAAGGAGCTCTGGTGGCACAGTGCCTAAGGCATTTGACTGCTAACCAGAAGGCTGGTGGTTCAAACCCACCAGCCACTCTATAGCAGGAAGATGGGGCAATCTACTTCCATAAAGGTTGACTGTCTTAGGGACCCAATGGGAGTCACTATGAGTCAGAATTGACTGGATGGCAGTGAGTTTGGCTTTTGAGTACACGTTAATGAGGCAGGACTAGGTTATGTTTGTTATGTTAATGAGGAAGGGTTAGGATGGTCCAGATGTGATGTAAGGGAGCTTCCCTGGGGTGTGGACTGCATCATCTTTTATCTTACAAGAGATGAAAGGAGAGAGAAGCCAGCAGAGAAGGAGGAGGGGCCTGTGTATTATGAAAAAGAAGAGCCAGGAATGAAGAGAGAGCTTTGGACCCAGGGTCCCTGTGCTAAGAACCTCCTAGACTCAGGGGAAGACTGAAGCCAAGATACATGGAGATCTCCAAGGAACAGCAAGCCCAGAGATACTGAAAGAAGACAAGGCCTTTTCCCCAGAACCAGAGAGTCAGCACCTTCCCCTACATCTGATGTCCTAAATTTGGACTTCCAGCCCCCTAAACGGTGAGAGAATAAATTTCTGTTTTTCAAAAGCATCCACCTGTGGTATTTCTGTTATAGCAGTAGAGAACTAAGACAGCAACTAACAGCAGCAGCAGCAGCAAATGTGACCCAGGAAGTGAAAGCCTCATACGCCAAAAACTATAAAACGTTACCAAAAAATGAAAGAAAACCTAAACAAATCGTCTATGCTCATGGACTGGAAGACTGAGATCATTGCTGACATGTATTCATTCCATGTTTGTATGAGAGTTGTAAAACCTTTTCAAAAATTACACTTTGACGGTACATGTACTGAACAGGACTACATGGAAAGCACAGAAGTGAGCCATTGAGATCAACGGATGCATGAACTCGGAGAAGCCAGGATAGGCAGGGTAGGCTGCCCCCTCTCGGGAGTTTACCATGACAAAATGGACTCATTCTGTGTGCTAGGGCCGTGAGCACAGTGTGTTAACAAATGATCCCATTAAACTCCAGAACAGCTCTGGAAGACAGACACAGTCTCTATCTGCATTCCACAGACAAAGAAACTGAGTCAGAGTCCGCTCAGTATCCCATCGCGTGGTAGAGTGACATTCAAACTGGCTCTGACTAACTTCAAAGGCCAGCCTCTTGCCCCTGACGGTACCAGAATCGTTACATAAAGCATTTAACCCAGGATTCTGCACATGGCCTGACCGTCTGGAGACAGCAGCCTATACTTCTGAGGTTTTTAGAGCTGAAGAAGCCTTGTTGCTGACTGCCACTGAGTGGACCCTGACCCCCGACGACCCCATGAACAATGGAAGGAGACACTGCTCAGCCCTGCACCATTCCCACAATTGGGAGAAATCTTAGAAGTTGCTAAATCTTATTCAGCTCATTGTCAGGTTATTAGCTGAGGTCCAAAGAGATCGTTTAATTTACTGGAGACTAATTGATAGAGATAGAGTCAGGACAGAATTGGGTCTGGTGACTCCAAACCTGTCCTTTCTTCTAGCAATAATTTCTTCACAGGATGTAAAATTTACCCTAACAGTGTAGTGTAAATTGTGTTTGCCTTCTGGGGAAAAAAGAAAACTCACGGCCGTAGAATCGTTTCCAACTCATAGTGATCCCACTTTGGGTTTCTGAGGTGGTACCTCTATGGAAGTAGATTACCCAATCTTCCTTCCAAGGAGTGGCTGCTGGGTTTGAACCGCCAGCCTTCTGGTTAGCAGTCAAATGCCTTAGGCACTGCACCACCAGAGCTCCCACCTTTTGGAAAGACATACCATATCACTCAATGTGATAAACTGGAAATCAGGTATCTGAGAATGTCAGAAAGTCCACCCATTCCCCAAACCTGGGAAACCTGCCCCCAGGCAACTCCTCAGATTCTACCCACAGCTTTATGGTTGTGGTAAACACGGAGATAACAGAACAGTTGCTATTTCAATAACCCTCACGTGTACAGGAAGTGACATTACACTCATCAGCTGGTTCACCTCTCACATTCACTGTTCCCACGTAGTTCCACCTCCCTTAACGGAAGCTCAGTGTCTCCTGCCTACAGCTTTTTCAGCTCTTATTTTGTGCACAATCCTAACAAAACTTGCGAGATGCTGAATTCGTTCTGATGACTGTACTAGACACTGTTCCCACCCCGCTAACAGCACAAACTGTTGTTGTTGTTGTCATTATGTGCCGTCAAGTCGGACCCGACCCATAGCGACCCCTCCTTGGGTTTCC